TGTGTGTGTGTATGCGCGCGCGCGCGCGTGTGTGTGTAAAATGTAACATGTACTTATATCTTAAATGTAAGTTTACATCATATGTACATAATCTAACTTTTTTATTTAAAATATCTTTACTTTAAACAATAATGAAAGACAGAACTAAAAAGTTTTACACATTTTGACTTAAATATAAGTAAAGATTCTTTATACATTTATATATAGTCATATAAGTATAATTTGTATATTTATATAAATGTATATATGTACAGCCATTGTACATATTTATATAAATGTTTGCGCAGATAATCGATAGCAGACGTTATTACACGACAATTCAATTTGTCTAGATAATCAGTGTGTCTTATCACGTTCGTAAAATTTTTTACCGCAAGGCTTGTTATTAATTACTTTATTTTTAAAAATTGTGAAAATGAGTCTCTTTGACTCTTAATTTTTTATATAATGTTTCAGGATTAGTGTTAATCTCAGCTATGTTAATTCTGGTGAGTCTTGCAATGTTCGCTTTTCCAACCCGGCTGCCCGCGAGTAGAACTCCTCCCCGACGAGCAGACTCCAAAAAGCCCAGTTTGCGAGGTAAGTCCTGATTTATCCTTCGGAAATGTCTCTGTTCTCTTTCGTCAGGCTAGTCGCGGCATCGGATCTCCTGCCAACTTAATCTGTTTTTATGGCTCATCGTAAGCTGCTTTGCGGCAGTTCCCATCTCTCTTTCTCTTATTATCTCTTTCCGTTTCGCGATTTCCCGTGCAAACGATTCTCTGTCGAGGAGAGAAAGGAGATCTCTCGAGAGCGAGAAGGATAACGGACACGGAATACATTGCCCATTTCGCCGTGATATCAATTTATCCTCGTTGCGCGCACATGTAAATTTAGTCCGAGTCTGTATATGTCACTGCATTCGGCCGTGCTTTCTGTCTTTCTTTCTGTAATTGCAATCTGCACGATTACAGTATCTCGACGCGTTGGTGATGATTCGTGCTGGCGAATCGCTATCACAAAAAATCGCTGTCGAATAAATCGAAAATTGAAAATTAATTAAACGTCTAGAATGTATTTGAGCAATTTGAAAAATGTATAAATATTTGGGGTAGCACAATATTTTCTTTTTCAATTAGATGCGAATGTTATCTTTTCAAATGCTCAATTGTTATACTTTATATCGATCGAAAGTACAAAGTTCATTTTGTGATCATTTTTATATATTCACATCCTATTTGCGATATATATATATATATATATATATATATATAATATTCATATATAAATAATATGAATATGGCATATAAAAACGGATACTTTGGAGTTTTCGCGCAATTGCTAATGATGTTTTCATATTAATGGTAAATGTTTTCGCTCGCGTGCAGAAAGGTTTGCGACGAAAGGCGAAATTCTGCATGCCTGCCACTTGCCATAGCGCCGCAGATCGAAGGCTAACGAGAATGCAAATAGAAGCCGGAGACAATGTGCTCTTCGTAAGTTAATCGGGAGCTCACAAGCGAGCGATTTCGCCTACGGTTTGAATAATGCTTTCTCTTGTACATATATTTATATTGCGCATCAAGGTAATCAAACATCGACATCGTGATGATTATTCGAATAATAGTTTTCGTTAGTCCATTTTCTTTTGACTTATTAATTTAATTTTTGTACATTAAATAACTTTTATTCTACTGCCGATTAGAAAAAAATCAAATAAAAATATACGAGGATTATTTACAAAATGCGACAAAGATTTACGAAAGCGACAAATCATGCGAGAAAGAATGTTTATCTGTTACATTAACATTTACCTCTAGATATTAAAAGATCGATATCAACACTTACAACTTCGTCTTCATCAAATTAGGATATACGCTTAATTTATAACAACCCACGCGTTCGAATCGCCCTCCGTTCTCCAGCGACTATCAAGACGCGATGAATCGCTATGTCACATCCGCTGTTGCATCGATATCTCGCGCGAGGTCACGATATTGGTCTCGTCGCTGTCGCGCGGCAACGCATAATGCATTCTTACGGCTCTATCGGTATGCGCATAAAAGAAGGAACGAAGGCGATCGGACGATCTTTGAAGCTACCGACGGTCCAAGGTCAATGGCGAATCTAGGCGCTGACCGGAGAAAATCGGTATCGCCTCTGCCTCTAATATATGCGAGTCCAATCGGGAAAGTACGACTCGCGCCGAGATTTACAGGTTTCGACACGCCTAGTAAAAAAAAAAAAAAGAAAAAAGAAAAAATTAAAGAAGTTAGGCGCGCGATTAGGCTCTCTCTCCGTGGAGAATCGTCTTTCCTCGAGCGATTCTCTCGCGAAATTCGGTGACCGTGAATAATCAGCCTCGTCCCTGATTAGATTTCTGCGCTTTTGCCGGTCTTTTTTTTTTTTTTCTTCGTGCCGCTGTTTCCAGGGACCTGAACTTGCACTGCCAGAAGTGCCTCTTTGAAGACGGTGTTTCATGCTTCGTTTGCGATCCAATCACCTTGACCTGTTTAATCCTCTGATTTCTCTTATGCTGTGTCCAAGGTGTATTAACGAAAACTTAACACATCGTCAAATTAATGCACTTTTATATTATCACCGTACAGTCGCTGTACTGAGATTGCAAATATTATTAATTAAATCTGAATATTACATCGGGAAGATCTATCCTAAAAGTATGTCAAAGAAAATTAAAAATAAAAGTGTTTCTAATCTTTTTTGATGTGATTTTAATTTGAGTATACAATATGTAATTTTTTGCAATTACAAATCAGATCCTTTTGTAATTAAATTTTCATCTCGAAAATAAAATTCTACTCTGCGATAATTTTTTTTAAATTATATATTTATTCGTACAATTGCTCATCGATGAGAAATTTCAAAAATTACATACAGCTTTTTATGATGTAATGAAAAAAGGGGATACTGAGGGGGGAAAAAAAAATACAGAATACATTTCTATAGTCTATATATAATAATACCGAGAGGCTAAATAGCGCATTTTTTTATACGATACGATTCCCCCGAAAAATTTCCGAATAATTTTCGAGAAGCTTCTTCTCGGTTATCACGAGATTACCATGTAGCTAAGCGAAAAACTTGTAAGTCGACCGGACATCGAAAGTCCTGAAATCGTCGGATGCTCCTTTAACATATCCTCGCGCGAGGATGAGGTGCGTTCACGCGTGCGTTCGTGTAAACGCGCCCGCGTGTGTTGCGTGCGTGTAGCGCGTCGGGAGCGCACACGCCACCGCCGCCGCCACTCTCTGCGTGTGTGCGTTAATAATAATGACTGACCGACTCGTGCACGAGGTGGGGCAAGTTCACGGTCACGCGTCGTGCATAGAGGCGGTGGTGGACACGCACGCGCGTACGTTTTGCGCGTGCACACGGACTAACGCGTGCGTGTGTCTCTCACTCCGCTTCTTTTTTTTTCTTTTTTTCTCCTTCCTCCTCCTCCTCTCTCTCTCTCTTCTCTTTTTTTTTTTTCGTGTTCCGTGTTCCTCTCGCTCTCTTCCTCTCTTTTTCGCCTCTCTCTCGGTCGCCCTACGTACGTGAGTTCGACTACGAGCCGGCATTACCAACACCGTCGCGCTTAATTCGGCGGATCGCCTACGTGCGAGCCTTTTTAATGTCTAACTTTTAACCCGCGTCTCTTCTAATGTATTATTTATTGCCGGACACGCTGGTATTTTGTTTAAAGCGAGTTTCCATACCTCTGCATATTTATAACGAATATTTTAGCGTCGTGTTTTTAGGCGTACTTTATTTTTGAGCGCGGATGTTTTAGGCGCGCAGTTGCGACGACGCGAGCAGATCGCTTACACAATCCCACGAAAGGCGTGTGATGTCGAAAAGTCGTAAATTTATATGTCACTATACTTGTAAAATAAAAACAAACGCTAGATATGTCGAATTCACAATTCAGATCAGTTTGAGAAGATACAATTTAGCCGTCCTATTACATATTTACATCCTACATAATATTTGACTCTCACTGATTGGGCCTGCGAGAATAGATATTTCAATCGGGCTGAATTGTTGCACTTAACTATATCGTACAATTGTTGTTAAATTTGATGAGCGGAATCATGAAACGCGTAACGTTTATACATATCTATATGAATCTGTACGCCCTTTCACCGATCCCATCAATTTACCCGTGTCTCCCGCGTGTTAATTGCCAACTTAATGAAATTCGCGGTTGCAAAATCGATGAAGCGAAACGTTTGTCCGCAACGCGAACAGATATATTTTTAAATATACACGACGGCAATCGGCATCTCACGTTCGAACCTTTAAAGGGCACTCTTATACGCGCGCGATAATACTCGAAGCGTAATGTTAGTCACGTTTGTCTACTCATGGTCTGTGGGACGTCCCTATGCGGAGTTGCCACGACTGGCCTCTCCTAGCTGGTCTCTCACGGGCGCCTAGAAGACTCCTAGGCAGTCCTAGGCATACAGCTGCACGTTTGCACGCACAAGGTTACGCATATACTATACACTTTCTACAGTATCGTGCGAAAAAGACGCTTGACTCGTTCGAGTAGATAAATTAACACAGTCCCCAGCACAGAAAGAGACTGAAGACATTTATTCGGCTTCTCTTTGAACAAATTTGAATAAATTGCGAAGTAATTAACTCAACGTGCGATTAATTAATTTGCAATTTAATTTGCTCTTTTTATTAAAATTACAATAGGATTTTTTAAGCCACTTATTTTTGTTTTAATGAATAATATTTTATAAATTTGGAAAGTAAAAATGTGTCGCGTACAGCTTAAAATATTCCCGAATTGTTATTTGATATTTTTAATTATTGGATAAAAAGATTTTTAAATTCCAACAATATTTTTCTCATGATATTTTTCTATTTTATTGTGGATAATAAAAAAAAAAGAAATTTTAAAGCTGATTTTTTATCGAAATTATTATCTTGCTGTATACATATATTTTTTTTTTTAAACTTTCCAAATATATTATATAGAAAGAACTTATTACTTCTAAAATTTAATACATCTCATAATTTTATATTTGATAAAATGGAATATTAATATTAATAAAATGTTGTTTTTGTTTTATTAAATATAGTACGTTTAGAGAAATGCGTTTCCCATTATGCGATTTTTGCAATTTATCGAAAACAGAAGATGATATTTGATGACGTTTTCTCATTAAATCATATTGGAAGATGGATAAATGCATTTGCCGTGTTTGAAGAATAATTCTGTACATTTAGATCGCAATATCGTTCTCTTAATCGCCAGAGAACTAGAGAGTGCTGGCGAACTATAGCTTCTGAAGGAACAGGTCTATACGTTTTCAATGGGTCAATACGTTCGGTCGGCCGAGCGATGTACCTCCGTCTGGGAGCAGGAGCGTGTGTAAAAGTCCACGCGACACATCGATCTTCACCGATACGTTACATTGATTCGACGAACTAACTACCAGTAAACTTAGTCGTCGTCGTCGTCGTCGTCGATGCTCGAGTCTCATGGAATAGCCCGCGAGCGACGCTCGGCCGTTTTACAACGCAGAATCGTACAGCACGAAGAGAGGAGGCCTCGTCCCTTTCTCCTTTTTTCGGCGCGATCTCTCCCTCCATCCTGTTCCCACCACCTTCGATCATCTTCGAACCCCTTCGCATCCTCTCGAAGGAGGACGCGAAAAGGAGGAGAGACTCGATTGCCGGCTAATTAGCTCGCCCCTCGTAATCGAGCTCGTAAATATACGGCGGATCGGTAGACCCGGCAACTCTGTCAGATTCGCAGAGGATGAGTATATACGGCTGCTGCACGGCTGGCTCGAAGGGACAGAGAGATCAGGCGAGACCGGGACCAATAAGAGATAACCGTGGCCACGCGTGTGCATCTCTCGCTCGACGCGAGAGATGCATCTGCAGAGCCGGATCGCGACTAGGACTATCGCTAAGCCCTGCGTAACCTTCGCCCATGAAACGTGTAACACCTCGAGTCGATGACCCGCGTGTCCGTCGCACGTTAACGCGGTGATCTAAAGCCTCCGATTTCAGCCTCATTTGTCTAATTGAGATAATTTCATATCTCTTTAAATCTTTTGAACTTCGACGAAAATTGTGAGGTCCATTAAAATTTTAATGACTGCGATTTCGCTGTCAAATGATAGATTTTCCACAGCGACATAGATAGAGCGACAAAGATAAAAAGAGAAAAAAATTTTAAACATTTTAATCGTGGATAAGTATTTCTTTATTACGCGACAATGTAATTGCTTGTTAGCAATTTTCTCTTGGCTCCTCCTGAGTCGGAAATCGACATTGTCAAGAACTAATAATAAATACAGTGAAATCTTACGAATTGATTCGAGATTAATTTTCACATGTACGCATTCTCGTACTGATATTTGGAATATTTATCGTTACAGATTTCCCGAATGCTGTAAAAAGGCTTTTGAACAACGATATTCTCATGTTCAGAACAGCGAGTAGTGTGTTGCACATCTTGCCGATTGCCGGTATCTACACCTTCCTGCCAAAGTACATCGAAAGCCAATTTCGCTTGCCGGCCCATCATGCAAACATGATCTCAGGTAATTATCGCGGGTGAAATACGCGAGCGGGACCCGGAAACCTCAAAATGCATTCTCGATTATATTATTACTAATGCACACCGTAAGAGATGAATCGTGTTCGGAGTAACAGCGACGACACATCGTTCCCGAAAGATCGGACGGGCGACGTCGCAAGATTTCGTCGCCGGATGTCCGTCGCGATTACGACGCAAAGTGGATAATTTGACGTAAACGTCAGAACGGTCGTGTCATTTCGTTCACGAAACGAAAAAAAAAAAAAAAAAAAAAAAGAAAAGAAAATTATTTTCCTCACTTGGCCTGTTATGCAGGAAGTCGCGACAAAATCTACCGGCCAATCAAACTGAATTATTTGTCATTATCGCGAACGCTCTACGTACGTGACTTAAGAAAACGTGTAAAATTTACCGCGACGTTTTATATCGGTTTTTTTTTCTTTCGTTTTTACTCGAGACGTATTAATCTGACTGCGATAATTAATAAATAATATTAAAACGGCATAATGGGAGATAGCGCTAAGTAACGGCCGGTTGGCCGCTCATACGGCGATAATGCGGAATGGATGGATTCGATGTAATCGGTTCAGAAGGAATTTGCGCGTATCTCGGTATTAATTCTACGGTATCTTATTTCACGTGCGTGCGCGCGCTAATTTATTACATTGTCCGCCGAGTAATTGGCGCCAGCCGTTACAGAACAAGGCTGCGCTTCCTTTCTGCATTCTACTTCCCGTCGTTTCTATGCTCGCCCACGTATTTAAACTACGGTCGTGTTAATTATTCAGCGAATAATTTGGCAGAACTACCGCGCGATGCTATTGTATATAGATTTTGAATTGATTATTCTGTAGCTATCTGTGATGAAACTATATCAAGTTAATAAAAGTATTAAAAAAAACACTTTAATCTTGAAATATCAGTTAGAAATTTATGACGTTGTATATTCGTTCTTTTGCAATTTTCTAAATTAAAAAAAAAAAAAAAAAAATAGTTTTACTTATTGAACGAAATATTACTTTATACAGAAATTAATAATAATATGTAGCTACATATATATTAATATAATATAATAGTATTCTTTACATCATTCGATATGTTTGGAAGACAATGAAGTTCTTATTCAACGATTGGCTGATTTTTTATTAATAAAGCGACTCATTCTTAGATTTTCATGACTGGACTATGACCTAGAAACGTGAATTGCCAGGTGAATGGTTTTGTAATAATGAGCGTTATTTTTTTGCCCAGGTGTTGGCGGGATCCTAGTGATGGGCTTGGGCATCGTACTTAGCGGCATATTTATTTTGAAGGCGAAGCCTAACGCCAGGTTCGTCGCAGCCTGGATCGCCTTCACCGCGGCCGCTTACGCGATTGGCATGGGTGCGTTAATGTTTATCGGTTGTCCGATGGACGACTTTGCCGGACTTGTAACACATCCCGACACGGGGTAAGTAACTTACTAACTTCATTGCATGAAAAGAAAAATTTAACGAAGCGTTGCTCTAATAATTGCGCTTGACGCGAACGCATCGATAAGAAAATCCAAGTTGTTAGATTACGAATAAAACACAGATTAAAAATAAATATATAATCATTGACATACGTGCATATATTAAGTAAAGATAATAAAATTTATCTTATAATTTATAACTCATTTATAACTCATAATTGGATAGCGATAAATCAATCTAACACTTTATTAATTTTATATCTAATATCAAGAATAACAAAGTATCTAGTAAAATCACACCTTTTAGTTTTAGATCATAAAAATAACTTTTTCATTAAAATAGGATATAAAGAGAGAGAGAGAGAGAGAGAAGAAAGATAAGAAAAATCCAATAAGAAGAATACTTTAAACATAGACTATTTCTCGAATTTATTATAAATGTGACACGAATCCATTTTCACAGTTTGTCAGATAACATCGTCGCTTGACGGGGTTTTCGAAACGAAAGCGTTTGACTCATGTTAATAACATTGTTACGAAATTATCGCGATTGTCGCGTCGCGTATTCAAACGCGCTGGCGGACGACGGCCGATGTTTAACGAAAGACAACGTGTTCGAATGCGTGTCCGATTAGAAATGCGCATCGTAAGTACGTGTATCGGAAACGCGCAGGGAGACCCCTCACTCTCCTTCTCCTTATTTACAAGTCAACGATATCTCTCCCGGTTTCCCTAAATACATACACATTTCGAGTTCTTCCGATTCGGGCTTCTCGTTTATCTGTCCGGCGCGAAAGCGGGAAAACCTCGACAGTGACTTTGTGCAATCTAGAGCATTATATCCCATCGAGCGGAACAAACTGTCATACGTCATGTCTATTCATTAAATAGCCTAATTTTAATATAGATTTTTCTTTTAATAGCAAGGCTTAATTGATTTTAATGCTCTAATTGATTACGCTGCGCTGTTGTAAATCGCCAAGCTGGTTTTATCCCTTCTGTTTTAGTCTAAGATTTTTCTTTAATCTTTTTTATCTCTCTTTCTCTCTGCCTTCTTATTTTTATATTATTTTGTCAAATTGTAGAATTTAAGAAAGATGTTTCGAACAGAAAATATTATTAATTCGAGAGTTTTTAGATTAAGAACATTGATATTATTCTAGACGTTCGAGATATTTTCTAGAGACAATTTTTAAAATTCAAGTCACACTTGCCGAGAGAGACTTTTTTTTTGCTTCAATGAGAAATTTTAATTACGAAATCTAAAATACTAAATTCTATTTATATCGGAAGTGTTCTCATTCGCTTTATCAATTCGCGTTAACGAGCAAAAGATCAAGTTTTCTTGAAGCATGAAAAAAACACACTTTCATTCAAACTAATTAATTTATTTTTTCATTACGTAAAATTAATTATCTCTTAAGTGAGCATTGCAATTAAGTGAAAATGAGATAGCTTAGTTGATAAAGTAAAGGCTGACCTGCAAACGACCCGTTTCCGCAGGCTCTCGAGCTTTGAGCCGACCTGCGATTCTACCTGCGATTGCGATCGGATCAAATTTAGTCCAATCTGCGGCGCCGACGGTAGAACGTATTTCTCCGCGTGCCACGCAGGCTGCACGAATTATACGGTTGCTGACGGCAAAGTGGCATCGGTAAGTGCTAACCTTGGTAGAACCGGCACCCGGCAAGACGTGCTCTGATGACACGTCTGCACGAGCGAGATTACACGGAATACGATAGTAATTGAATGAATCGGTCGTCAGCTCGGAAACGCCGTAAGGTCAAGAATCGAGATTGTTACGAAATTAATCGGAGACCAACGCGGAATTTGAAAGATTTTCTCTGCTTGTTCTGCGAAATAAGCGCTTAGCGTCACGGTTGTTGAAACTGAGGATGACTTCGAATATCCAGTGTTATTATCGAGTAGTTATTTTATCCATTTTTTTTTTAATCTCTGTAAAAACAAGAGATAAATCTCGAAGAATAAATATTCATCTCGAGCGACTTTGCTTCTTTCGAGGCAGAACGTTTTTTTTAATAGTTGTGTGCTTTTGATATATAAAGCAATTATGATTTTTGCTATAATTTTCGTGTTCCGATGATGTTACGTTTGATACTTTGCAGTTTTATAACTGTCAGTGCATTGGACAAAACATAACGACATCCGAGCTAGTAAGCACGGCGACGATCGGTTACTGCGAATTGGAGTGCAGTAATTTTTGGGTTTATATGATCCTGTTCTCGGTCTTCGTTTTTATTCACTCGACAAGCGAAGTGGGCTCTATGTTGCTCATTCTGCGTTGCGTGGATCCTAGAGACAAGGCCATGGCACTTGGCCTGATACAGTTCGCTATTGGCTTGTTTGGTAATTATTTGCTGAATCATCTTTTCTGACAATAAAAGTAGAAAAGTAGAAACGCGAAATTTTTCAAGAGAATTTATTTGTTTTAAATAAAATATAAATAAAGCATAAATAAATAAATAAAACTTTATAATTTTTTGTTTGAAGACTAGTAGAAGATTGTAGTATTTGTGGATAAATTTTATAAAAGAATATGAATGCCACGAAAAATTTCGCAAACTGAGAAAAAGATAGATTGTTAAAATACAAATAAATGGTTATGTAATTAAATTAGAAGCATTTAATTTTTCAGTGTTTTAAAAATATTTCTTTTTTCTTTCTTTTAATCCGTATATCATAACATCTTTATTTTTTTGCCTCAGGCAATGTCCCATGTCCTATCATTTACGGTGCTGTAGTGGATTCCGCTTGTCTCGTATGGGAATATGCTTGCGGTGAGCGAGGCGCCTGCTGGCTTTACGACTCCAACGTCTTTAGAATGTTCTATCATGGTACATATACAATTTAGAAATATGTAAAAATTTATCTACTATCTACTGAAGAAGAAACATAGATTAAACGAGAATAACGTTGTTTTAAAAAAAAATATCTTATTTCATTGAATTTTAATTAATAGATTAATTAATTTAATAGATTATTAGTAATACATTTTTTTTTCGATCTGTTGTTATTTAAAATGCTATAAAATATGCGAGACAATATGTAAAATAAATAAATTATATTTAAACACAAATTACGTAATAATTTGAACGCTTGTTTCACAGGTACAACAGGCGGTATTCTCCTATTGGCCTTCATAGTGGATATAGTTGTTTGGTACAAGGCCGGGAGCATAACCTTCGTGGAGGAGCAGGAGGGCGAGACAGGCACCGCGGAGGAAATGGCGACGTTAAAATCGCGGGACGCTCAAGCAGTCGAGAACGACTATTTGTGAAGGTTTCGCATTACTCTTTTGCGGTGAAGGGCCGCGACGGCGACATTATCGTTGTCGTCGTCTAAGGACGCAACGCAGTCTCAACGTGGGATATGTAGAGGCGTTGTTTTTCGCGAATGGTGCCAGTATAGCTCGTCGCGCTTCCCAGAAAAAGATAGACTCGCTGGCGATGAACACGCGTCAGAATGGAACTTTTGCTCGAGGAAGTTCCGTTCTGACGAACAGAAAGAACTAGTCCCTCTTGTGTCGACGCGCATCCGAGCGTAAAGAAGCGGACTACACACGAATCGCAGGAGGATCGAGACCGAAAGACTGAGATGGGAAGGACGACTCGAATAATTTTGATTCGGTAACTCGGAGAGATTCAAGGTTCAGTTACGCGATAAACAGGAAGGAAGATTGGCACAATCTCAGCGTATATATATATATATATATACATAATAAAAGTAATCGATGAACGTGGGATAATGAAGAACGAAGGAAACACGGAAGAAAGGGAGACGTGAGGCGGATTACAGTTCGTCTGCGTCACAATGCATCACACAATGTAATATAACTCGAATGCGCCGTGGAAAAGTTAGTAGGGTTTCTCTCTCAGGGAGGCTTGTCAGTAAGTACACGCAATAAAAGTAATACTTCCGTGCCTACGAAATGACGGTGCTTGCGGCGAGCACGCGGTCCGCCGCACCGACAGATCCGGGGAATCGAATCGAATCAAAGCACACGAGCGACGTCGCGGGTGGCAGTGAATGCGGTTCGCATGGACGGACAGTGAGGGATTGCCTCGTGCTTTGCACCGGCGTTGATTAGTATATGACGGCGTTCCCGCCGCGTTCGCACGCGTGCACGCGTTATCCAACTCTCTAACGGTAATGTTCGTTTACCGTGACGTAAAAGGAAACGCGAGGCACATGCATAGAATGTAGTATTTTCGTTTTTTTCATTTAATGAAAATTTCGTAGAGGTTTTACAACGGAAGGAGGATATTAAAATCAAAACTGAAAGAATTACCGCATATTGATATTTAATTTGCGACATTTAGTATCTAATATTTTAAAATTGTTACAATCAGAAAAAAATCTAATTTAATTAAAACGCGATGATGACAAATTTTAATATTGGTACAAATCATGAAGTTTTGAATTTAAATCTCACTTTTTAAATACATGAAGTAATACAAATTTTTAAGATCACAAGATACAAAATTTGATGTCAAACAGACATTAATTGCCGAAATTTACTATTTCGGCGAATAGACAAAGCGGTTATGAGTAAGTTGTTTTTCTTAGAATAAATTTAAGTTAATGAATGAAATAGCGATAATAAAAAATAGTTTTTATCATTATTTCATTATTTTTATTTTTTAAATTTATTATTTGACATAAAAATAATAAATGAAATAAAAAAATATAAATTTTTGAAAAATTTTAGATTTGGAGATCTTAAAAACAATTACGAGCAAACAATCGCATATCAAGCAAAACACTTATCAAGTTAAAAATTGAGATAATTTTTGTCGAACTGAATCTTTATGACTAAATTTGATAACAAAACTTTTAACATTAAAATAATTGCAATATAATTTATTACAGATTTATTATAATACTATAATATTAATTATTAGCTATATAATACTAAAGAATATTAAGAATTTAATAAAGTTTTTAATCTTTTTCCAGACGTTATAATCTAAAATTTAAACGAATAAATAGTTAGTATTAATATAGTAGTATTAATATGCCTTGCATTTCCTTTTTGAAGATAACGTTGCACGGTGCGTTACGTCAAATAATGATTATCTCCGAAAATATATAAAAGAAACAAAGGAAACTGCCGATCATTCCATTGCGAAAAATTGGAAAATTTCTTCGCAATTAGAATGCGTAAAGAGCAGGAAAAATATATTATTATATACATGTAAAAAGTATATACTTTACGCACTGTACAGTGTATAATGTAACAACTTAAATCGTCGATTCTGATCAGTCGATTCTCGATCGCTCACAAACGAACGTATGCGCTTCGAGTATGTGCTCGTGTGCACCTCTGCTTTAATCCTTGCGTGTATTCTCTCTATTGATATTTCTGAAAAAAATCATCATGATGGCTGATGCGCCGAGGCGCATCGCGGAGATAGAAACTATCCGCGAAGACAGCATTACGGAAACGAAGCGCCGAACGATATGGATCTAAATTGCATAAATTTCAGAAAAGAAGAAAAATCAGTAGAATTGTATAATTACAGATTTCTTATTATTTTAAAAATTATAATTGCAAATAATAGTATATACTATTTAGTATATACTATTAGTATATACTATTTGTTATGATACAGTTGAATTATCGCTGATTAACAACGACAATAGAAATATCTCGAAAAAGTGTTACTTTTTTTAAGTTACTTTTTCTAAGACTTTTGTGTTTACACATTTACAATTATGAATATATTTTAAATCTATATTATTTTCGGCGGTAAAATATAAAAACTTATGTAGAGACGATTAAAAATTATAAGAAGTGACATAAACTTAGTGTATATTGACTATTGAAATCAGAAATGTAGAAACAACGAGATAATAAGTTATTATATAATG